AGTCTGCCAGAAAAACAGCCTTCGTAGCAACTTCGACCCTTTTGTTTGAAGCCTTAAAGATATCCAATCTTTCATCCAATTCCTTGAATTTGTATAAAAACATACCTAATTTAACGTGGTAGAGGCTCCTGGACTCGACTCGCATTCATGCTTCTCGAATTCAGCTCAAAAATAGGCTTCACAAACACGTTTCCAGACTTAGCCATTTCTAGGCAGTTTCCCAGTTTTGGCATAGCCTTTTGATGAGGTTCAAAAATGGTCTTCTGGACTTCCTATCGAGCTCTCAATCACTTCAATATGTAGAGGGACACTCCAGCTTCAAAACAAGTCATTAGTCTTCAATTTCCATCTAGCCAATTGTATGATATGAATATCCAAAGTAGGCACCATGAACTGTTTTTACACTGAAACAACATATTAGGTCGACCGGATCCTATATGAGGTCGACCGAATCCTAAATGAGGTCGACCGGATCCTATATGAGGTCGACCGAATTCTATATGAGGTCGACCTAATCCTAACTGAGGTCGACCGGAAAGTGCAAGTCACCGTGACATGCATGTCACCGTAGGCACACCCAAAAATTTATTACTTATATTAATAATTGGTAAAGTGTGTATACGACAAACAAATATTTCAAGTGCATTCAAAATTATGTATTCCTCGAATAATTAACTTATAATTTTTTAAAAAAATATTTTGTAACAAAATTTAAAAGTTCATACAAACATTGTGGCTTTTCACATATATTTAAATTATTGGATGTATTGTAGACACATCTATTGTTAATATCTAAACATATATATACAGAGAGTTTATTTTATTTTCAACACTAATTAATACTTTTGAACTCAACTCCTTGGGTGGATTATGATATGCCAAAATTTGGTATGAAATCACAGGCTCACAACTATATAGACTCGGCTCATTTGCAGCCCTAACTCAGACTACAATCAAGGGTTTGCGAAATCATATCCGATATTATATTGAAAGAAATGAGAATAATAATATCTTGTATTGAAATTATAAATATCATTGATTCATTTTATCTCACTAAAATAACTTACCAATAAAACATTTTTATGGTCAAACCGCCAATATGAATATGGTACGGTATTATGGTTAACCCGCTGATTTATCCTTTTGTTGTTCCGCATGTACGATCTACTCTACATACATGCTTACAATAATATCCCTTAATTATATTCAGTGGCGGACCTATAAATTTTACATATGGGTGTCCTCTTTCAAAAATTAAATTAAAATAAAAAATAATAATTAATAACAATGAAATAATTCTTAAATAAGAAAATATCCTACTCGTACAAGTTAAAAAAGTCTATGATGTACTTTCATATTCTGAAAAAATTGTAAAAGACACCTGGTAGCTACACTGCTCAACAAAATTGTCTTGATATATCCTATTAGACAATCATTCACGAACTGACGTATATTCAACTTCTAAATTTGTTCTTGATGTAACTCAAAACTGAAAAGACATTTTCAACACTTGTCGTACAATCATAAAATCAATACAAATTAAGAGTAGCTTGTAATTAGATTAATTGTTAGGTTTTGAAAATAATTAAAGATAAAGAGTAGGGTTTTGCTATTACACAATGTTTAGAATAAAACAACAAAAAATTTGCAGACTAATGAAAATTATATTTATTAATAGTAGTAGTGTCTAGGGTTTGAATTACCTAAACTACCACTTATATTCTCATTCGCAAACTACAAACGAGAGTAGGATAATGGTTTTTTCAAATTTTAGGGTGTCCCGAACTATTAATTATAATTTTTTGTCCATATATAAATTACTGCCGGGGATGAAATAATCGTTTTTTTAATTTAGGGTGTCTCGGGACACCCCAAACCTCCCTGGGTCAGCCCCTGATTATATTAACACACCGTCCACTTGGCGCCCTTCTCAACTCCAAACCCCTTCAAGCATCTTTTAACGTCTAAGTTCTAACTAGTTCAAAGTGAACCACACATCTAGGAATGGCAATTTTGACCTGACCCGATTTACCCGACCTGTTTGGCCTGTTTTGGGGCGGGTCAGATCCGCCCCGTAGGCGGGGCGGGCATGGGTACCTCTCATCGACCCGACCTGCCCTGACCCGCCCCATTCTCGGCCCGTTCTTGCCGAAATTACATATAATCTTAGTCAAATTACTTAGAATTTTCCTCTTATTACATTATATTTTAGCTATAACAAAGTTGCAATTAAGTGAAAACCTCAATTTCTTCAATAATTTAACTAGATTTTATTATATTATGGTTTCTTTCTTGGTCTTTTAATGAAAATAACGAATATTTCTAATGTTTTTCACATAAATTACATACACATTGGGCCGACCTGCCCCGACCCGCGCCCCGTAATAAATTACCCGACCTGGACCCGACCTGCCATGGGGCGGGTATGGGTATCGAGATACCCGCCCCGGACCTGCCCCATTGCCATTCCTGACACATCAACTGGTCATGCCAATATTTAGCTAGTCTATAGTCTATACTATTTTTTTTTTTTACCAAAGGCAGTGCTTTTCAATTAACTGCGGCTGAAGCCAGTGAATTACAAAAGGTGCGAAATTACATCAAGGACCTGAACCCACTGAGAAGGCAAATTGTTCTTTGCTCTAGATCTTGCCACCCAGTTAGCTTTCGTGTTGTTTTTCCTTTTGATGTGGGAGATCGTAATCCATGGGTGATCCTCGAGGGTATTCCTGATGCTACCAAATCACACTGAAACACGCCAAGGCCAGGCTCGCTGGTGCCCATGGAGAGCATTAACGAGGGAGAGGCAGTCAGACCTGACCAGGCAAGGGCTGTGTAAGCTTGCGGCGAGCAGCGTTCCTTTGAGTAATGCTTTCGCTTCTGCTTCAATTTGATGTCTTGCTTCACCTTCCCTATGTACCGCTTACACACAAACAAATAAATTTACTTAAAATTTAAAACAATATCTAAAGTTTACAGTTGCTATCAATTAAATAGAGTAAACAGAGAATAAACATCAACAAGTCGTTGTAGTATAGTGGTAAGTATTCCCGTCTGTCACCCGGGTGACCCGGGTTCGATCCCCGGCAACGGCGTATAGAATTTTTGCTTCTCTTACTTCCTAGAATTAGTTCAAAACGGCTGGGCTTGGCCTTCGCGTCATTGGATTTTATTACCACCGAGCCCACGTTTCATCTGCTATTCTTTCTCTTAAGACCCAGACCCAAATCCCAATAACTCCCCTATTCACCAAATCCAATAGGGCAAAGGAATAAATAGTCTTATACCTGTGGTTAGTTGACTGGAGTTTTTAAGAAGTTTGAGCTCGTTTCATCTACAAAATACTATAACACTATGTTCAGGAAGGGAAGAAAAGGAAGGGAAGGAAAAGTAGCAAAGGAAAGTGTCAATTTTGAGGCACTTCACCCTGTTTGCGAAGGAAGGAAAGAAAGTGTGGGAAGAAAAGAGGAAGGAAAGAATACTGTTCCTCCCTACCCTCCAATTTGGGTGGAAAGTGAAGCAACATTTTTTTTCCTTTCTTTTTCATCACATAAACCACAACTCCATTCTCTCTCAAAATTGAAATTAATTAATCACCTTCACTCTCTCTCTTCCTAGTGTGTTCCGTTACTCCCCAAACCAGATTATGTAAATCCTTTTTTTTTCATTTCATAAACCCAAAGCCAAATTAATTAAAAAGGGTTTCTAAGATATTTATTGTGTTTAGTTAAAATGAGAAATGAAGCATAATAAAAAATGAGAAGGAGATGGTCGTGGGTTATAGATAAGGATAAGAATAAGTAAAATTTGTTATCTATTTTTTTTAATAATCAGTATTAATCCTCATAACTAAGATAATGACAATTCAATGTAGTCAAAAGCACGATTCTACGTAGAAGCGTTTGGAATTAACATTATTTATAATAAAAAGAATATACTTATTATTTATATATTAAAATAATATAATATTAACGCTCTGTTCACGCTCTTAATATTGAGTTTTTGAAAAATAAACGCTAGACGCTCTCGCTTCGCTACCTAAGTTTAGATTAAGTAGGTTTTTTTATGGTCTCCATTGTTCAAATTAATTAAATTAATACTTAAGTAGGTTTCTTTATTAATTGGGTGTTGATAGATTTGAGTGTAATATCAAGGATTACGAAACTGTGCCGGAGGCTATACCGAGAAAGTAGGGTATTTAGAATGCTTGATCAATTATTATAAAGTCTCTATTTTTAATTAATTGTGGCTAAATCATGGTTTTTAAATAAATAAAACATCTATTTACTATTACATAACCAATAAAATAACATATTTATCACACTTCCCAATACACACTTTCCTTCCCACTTTCCTCCATAAAACAACATTTTCCTTCCAATTTCCTTCACCTTCAAATCTCCCCTCCCCTTCTAATTTTCCTTCACCTCCCCTCCTTTTCCTCCCTTCCTTCATGAACATAGTGTAAGGCAATGTCAACATACAGATTTTGCCACGTCAGTCCCTCCTGCAACCAGCGCACACTTCGGAGGGTCTTTAACGTCAATTCAACAATTCTTGTCTTTCTCCATTCTGATTTCCGTTCTCCCGGCGATAGCTTCTGTATCCGTACCGAGTCTTCCAATCCCCGCCGGAATCGAATTTCCATTCTCCCGGTGATAGCTTCTGTTTCTGTCTCCGTCCCGAGTCTTCCAATCCCCGCCGGAATTGAAGAAGTTCCTCTAGCCCTCTGCTCTGTCGCCATACCTCGAGAAAAGCCTCTTCATCTGACCTGTTGTGGATGGCCTGTGTATCTGTTAGCTGCGTCTCGCTGGTGCTGCTACTCTTTTCGACCTGACTGAAGGCATATCTCATATTTCCTGTAAGTTCCCTAACTTTGATTATTGGTTTTTTGCCTTCTATGAATCTGTAAATGTGATTTCCTTGCCGCCTTTCTCTTCCAATCCCTAATGTAATAGAAGCCCTCTATTCCGTCTTTGTGTTTTGTCGCCATAGCTTAGGGAAAAGACTCTTCATGTGACCTGTCGTCGACGACATGTGTATCCCACTTGCTGCCTCTCGCTGCTGCTAATGCTCTTTTCGAGAAGAACCTCCAAAGCTCCAATAGCCCTTAATCTAAGGCATATATCCTATTCCTCTAAGTTCTCTAACTTTTGTCTATTTGGATTTTGCATTCTATAAATCTGTAACTGTGATTTCGTTGGTGCCTTTGTACTATAATTTTTTCTTTACCAATGAGATTCGACCCAATTGCAGAGTATTACCTATCGTCACTGTTGTTTGAAGTTGTGTATTTGTTATGTTCTTTGGATGAGAAATAGACTCAATCTCTAAATTAGGAAGGGAGCCTGCGTTTGTTGCAAAATCATTTTACCTTCATTGATTGGTGACCTTTGTTGCTGACATTCAATTTTTTGTTTTTAGCCATTGCAGTAATGCCTCCGAAGTGTTGTCGCGGTGATGCGTCATGGAGTCATGAGCACGAGTCATCTATTTCAAACACTGTCACTCGATGTAATATTTTCATTCTGCATTCATTTTCATGTTTGTATTAGGAGTGTATAAAATATATGCAGGCACTGTTTAGAGATATTATTTTCTACTCCATTATGTCTTTGTTAGGGAAAGGCAGGGCAATATGTGCCTCGCTTGAAGGTCCAACTCTAGCTGAAGTTGGCGCGGAGAGAGCGCGTCTTGAGGCTGGTAAGTGAATGCCCGTTAAATGTGTCCTTCATTTTAATTTTCAATTGTTCTTATTGGGATGATTTTTATTCTTAGTTATTCACAAGTTGAAGCCAATATCACTTGCATGGATCGACTTCTTGCGACCTTGGCTAGGAGGAGAAGAAAATTCCTTTTGGTGGTACACTGAATGCATCGAGTGCATGTTGTTTGAGTCCTGAGTATGTCACTGTCTGCCTTTCGCTTATGTTTGCTTGAATTAGTCCCAACTTATTATTTTGAATTATAGTTTGTGCTCAGTAATAGCATGATTTGTGATACTATATTCCTTATGCTGCATTAGTTCTAACTTTTATAAATATGTGTATAAAAGTTCAGTTATACAAATAGAAAGTCTGTTGCTTCAACTTCAAGTGATTATCTTGGTAATGTTATACATGTTTATCGATCCATATAAAAGCATTTGGAAATGAGACACTCGATCTCTAATTGACTAATTTTGCAGGGCTTCTCCAATCTAGAATGTGTACATATAACGAAAGTAGGGATCAAGAAAAAAAAAAGTGGTTACTCTTAGGTTTTGTTATACAGCTTATTTAAAACGGGATCAAAGTCTTTTTCTTTCCCCATTTGATCTATGTATTTTGCCTTAATGAACTGTGATTGAGAGCAACTGTGAAAAAGTAAATAAGTATTTTGTACTATTACATAGCAGTTATGCATTGATTGAATGTAATGAGAAACCATGTTTCTTAGTTCTCTATCTTTATTTACTGCATACTCACTGTTTCTATTACTGTACCATATATGATGTTCCTTTGAAGGCCTTACAGGCTAAGCGTAATCGAGCTACCAGAATGATTCAAATATGTCAATAAAGGAAGAGAATGATGGAGTTCCTAGATCTTTTTTTCGACACGGTGAGTCATCTGTATTTATCAAATTTTGTTTGTTCAGATACACGAGACTGAACTTAATCCGTATATGTGTATTACAGGTTATCCGATAGTAACAGAATTCAAAAACAAGGAAGAGAATAATGTAAGGTGTTTGTTTCTGTCAAAGTTTTAAGACTTTGAGATCATAGAATTTACTTAACAATGCACTCGGTCTTTGTTGTCAACTCTAGGGAAAAATCTTTGCTATTGAAGGGCAAGTTACCCTAATAAGATCAAATTGGTGCTACATGGGGTGTGTGGTCTGCCCTCGCAAAGTGGAAGAAGACTTGGAGGAGTACTTTTGTGGACACTGCAAGACGACTGCTAAAGCCAAGTAAGCTAATATCATGTTTCACTTATTGTGCAAACTGAAATGTGCTCTTTTTGATGCTTGGATCCATTATAGGAATTATCATATTACTTCACGTTGTGAAAGAGGGATACAAACTCATGAGTTTTGTTTTGTTTATTTTTTCCTTCACTGTAAGTATAGAGTGGAGCTCCATTTGCAGGATGGTAGTGGTGAAGCTGATTTTGCCATTTGGAGCATGGAGGCCTGCGTTTTTTTTTTTTGGAGTAATTGCTGATGTCTTATTCCAAAAAAACCAGTGGAAGAAAGAACCTATACCTCAACAGATCCGGCAAGTCATTAATATGACACTCATTTGCCATTCTGCTTGTGATTAGGACGCATCCATTCCACGCCAAAATACGGTTTGAATGTTAAAACAGGTTCGTACTCTCGGCTTCGTACAAAAGATACAACAGGCATGGCTCTTGTTTATTAATTAAATTTAAGTGTAAGTTTGGGTGAGCTATGAAAGATTAGTTGAAAGGTTGAATTTGGTTGAAATGAAATAATTATTATTGTATGGATTTTTTATGCAGTTTGTTTCATTTATTAATTAATTTTGAGTTTAAGCTCGAGTGAGTTATGGAAGATTAGTTAAACGGCTGAATTCGATTCAAATGAAATCATCATTTAGAATTTGAATGATTTTTATCATCAATTTAGTTAATGAATTGAGATCAACAATCACCAAATCGAGTTAGCTCATTGCTCATGAGTATAAAGAACCAATTTGAACACGAAATTACCCACACGTGTCATTTCTAATTTGTCATTTGTGTGGTCCTTGTAGCTTGCAGTACAGTACACTACAAGCAAATAACTTTTTTTTTCTTCCCCCAAAAACCATAAGAAAACAATCTTTTTCCAAATTGATATTAATATAATCCAACACAATACCTTTTTGTATTCCTTAATTCATAACTCGTTACACAACACTTTCTTTTATTCCGAGTCCGACAACCAACAACCTCACCGACGGTGACCTTTATACCCACCGTCAACCACGAGATCAAGCCCCGTAACAAGCTCCGACTCCGCCGAAGCCAAGAAAACCACCGCATCCGCCACGTGTCCCGCCCTCAGCGCCACACCTTTCAAGCTCATATTCACCCCGACCGTACTCTCCACCCACTCCGCATCCTTCTCCCCTCCAAACCCTCGCAACGCCATCGGCGTCGCCACCACGTACGGCGACACACAATTCACCCTGATCCCGTGCTCCCCAAGCTGCACGCTCGCCGACCTCACCAGCCCGACCACCGCGTGCTTCGACAGGTAATAATCCACCATCCCTCTCCCGCCGGTGGACCCGGCCACGCTTGCTGTACACACGATGCTCCCACCCCTCACGCGCCCTTCCACCATCGCCCTCGCCGCGTGCTTCACACACGCCGCGGTCCCCCTCACGTTGACCGCCAAAACCCGGTCCATTGCCTCCAGGTCCAGGCCCAGCACGGTCTGGGCCGGGCCCGAGGAGGAGAGAGAGGGGAGTGCGGAAGAGGGGGATGACGTGGCGATGCCGGCGTTGCTGAACATGACGTCCAGCTGGCCGAACGCTGCCACGGTGGAGTGAACGAGGGATTTGACCTGGTCCTCTTGGGTCACGTCGCAGTGGACGTACACGGATTTGGTGATGGGGCGGCAGATTGATGAGGCAACTTCGCGGCCAAGTTCGTCTTGGACGTCGGCGATTACGACCGCACGGGCGCCCTGTTTGGCGAAGCGGCGGGCGGTTTCCTCGCCGATCCCGCTCGCTCCGCCGGTGACGATCGCCACCTTTCCTGCCAGCTTCATCTTTTCTTCTGTTTTCGTGTTGTTGAGCTTGTAAAGCAAGGTTGAGTATAAATAGAAGGGAAAGGGAGGAGAATGACAAATTCGTGGGGGTGATAAGTTGGTGTACGCAACTGGATTGGCGCGGTAGAGGCCAATGTGTAACAACTGCTACTTACAATATTACGGGAACGTAACTGTCTGTCATGGCGACCGAGACCGGGTCAGATTAAAGAAAGTGTAGTGAGGACGTCAATCGAAAAAGCCAAAAATGAAGAAGTTGGTGCAAACTTTTGGATGAAAAGCTGGAGACGCGCCAAGGAATTTTCCATCGAAGGGGAAAGGACGACAGGCAAATGCTGAAGTTGTTCAAACATCGCGGTCTAACCAAGCAGCTAAATTGATATGTAACGTGGATAGGTTACAGTAACTTGGTTTAACTTGAAAATTTTGGCTAATTAGGGAAGGACCTCAAATCTTTGAGCTCGCGTCTATGAGGCCCATGGTTAACTCTGAAAGAAAATACTCTCCCTGAAGGTAAATAATTAACCAATCAGCGAGAAATTCATTGCTCATTTTGTTGCTTTGATAAGTTTTACATGTTCTGCTGAAAATGTTCTCTCCGTGGAGGCCGTTGAAATGGGGAAGGTTAATACTAGACGAATTAATCGACAAATCAATTTGTATTGGGTGTCCCTGTTACCGCCATCATCTCTAGTGATTTTCCAAGGGAAGAAACTTCGTCTTCCTCACACAAGTAGCATAATATCGTAACTCATTCTCCAAAGTATGCATCTCATAGCCTTCAAAGACTAAACTCTTGAGCAAGTTTGTAAATATTTTATTCTTTAATCGACCGGAAAGAATGGTTAGGACCTAATGTATCACTCAACTGAAGCAATCCAAATGATGACTTAGCAAATTTGTAAATATTTTCTTAATCGAAAGGCTGGGGAAAAAAATCAGCGCCCGACGGACTGGCGGAAGAATCAATTTTGGGTCCGTTCGTCTCCTCATTCTTGTTTTGTTTAGGAGGGATTGGGGAATTTTTTTTAATCTTTTGCAGGGAAGGGTGATGTTTAGTTTAAATGATTTTTTATTTTAATGAAACTTTATACTTTTAGACTTTTACGTTTTAGACTTATAGATTTTAATATATTCTTTCAAATGAAAATCATCGGGCTAGAAATTTTAGTCTAAATTTAGAGTAATGGTTTGAATATGTTTATCTGGATCATTTTTCTAGTTACACAAAATCGTATTATCAAATGACATCGAGTCGGCATTTTATGACACTAAACCGAATATCTAAAATCAAAAAATGTATAGCACTATACTAACTCTGGATCAAGAAGAGGGCTGGGCCGAGGCTCGGAATGGCCCAACCCTAGATCCACCGCTGTGTGTTTGTTTACTTTCATAAGTTTCGTTCTTCTTGAAGCAGGGGGGTTCATTTGGCAAACAGGTGGAGTTTGTGATGTAAAGAAGAGGAGTCCATAGATCACATTTTCACCAACTGTGCGTTCGAGAACGAGCTATGGGCTGGAGGAAGGAGGATCAGCCGCTCTCTGAACAAGCCTCAAGGGGACATCCTGGAAGTCATACGCAGATGGAAGGCAGAACAGCCGAGCTCTTTAAGTGATTGGTTTTGCTTTTGTTTTCTTCACGCCGTTTGCTGGCAGATATGGTTGGAGAGAAATAGTCGCATATTCAGGGATTGTGGCAGCAACTCTATAGTAGTGTTACAAAGGACGGTGAGATCGATTGCTGAGTGGCTTGTCGCCCATGGTAAAATAAGTAGGGAACAAGGCTTCGGTTGGACTAGAGTTTCGCGGGTTGAGCAGTAAGATTGACGTTGGCCGCTCTTGTTGCTGTTTAGTTGGAGTCCCATGGTTCGGGCTGTAGTTTGGAGCTTCAGAAGTCTTTCTTCGACAGTGGGACTCGTCCTTGTCCCTGTTTCTTTCTCCACTTTTTCTTTTCTTTTCATTTTATCTTCAAGGGTTCTACGTTTGGTCTTTCAGCTCTTCTCTTTTGCTCCCTTTTGGTTTTGCAGGCCTATGAAGAAACAGGGGCCTTCTGGTGCGCCTAGTTTCCTTAGTAGGCCTGGTTCGATCCGCACCCCTCGTGCGTTCTTGTACCAAGAACTCGTTTGTTTTGTTTTTGTTTACTGCACTCTATCAATCACCCATATAAAAAAAAAGTTTCGTTCTTCTTGATGACATGTTCATTGTTCAGATCGGATGATCAATCGAAAATTGGATGGAATGAATGATATTGGATATTATACATATATTGTTAATATAGATGCATTGAAAATAAGGTGTGTTCCTTGACGTGTTGACTAAGTAAATATAGTTAACTAATAGAAAACTAGACTGAAATTAAAAGGAGTAACTAATGATTCATTTGTTAATTTGTGACCATCTTGTTATTGTCACCAAAAATTAAGTGACATTTTGGACTTTCGTGCTCAAAGAAAATTTTGACTTCTCGGACTAGTGATGACATGTGGGTTTCATTTATAACTTTTCAAGTAACAGCAATGCATGTGACATATTAGGATAATGTGCCTTGTTGCGTTGAATTTGAATCGTTCTTTGATAGATCTCTTTCTGGGTTAAACTTGTCTTTTGGTTACCAACATGACATGTCCCACTGGAATCCCAACAATTATACCCATCGCTATTTGTCGACAAGAACGTCCAATTTGGCGATGTCCTGAATTCTGATCACTAATGCATCAACCGGCCAACCCCTGAATCCAACAGAAATGCCTGACCTTTTCAAGACGCTTTTGATCAGTCACTCTGTCCTCCCAAAACCAGTAGCCTCGTTGGCTTTTCGGTTTGTGACCTCTTCAGCAACAGCCTGATTGTGACTCATAGAGCTCACTTGGGCAAGGGGACATGACATCCTGCTCAAGCAACTGCAGCACTTGGCTCATCGTCGTCCTGTCATCAGGAGTTTGCAAAAGTGCACCTTGCTGCAATCTCTAGCAATGTTTCGACAACTTCCATTTCTGCATCAGGGCATCTTTTGTCTATTACTAGACGAATTAATCGACAAATCAATTTGTATTGGGTGTCCCTGTTTTCGCCATCATCTCTAGTAATAAGCTTTGTGTCTTTCGGAACAAAAACTTAATATCCGAGTTTTTCCTATGAGATTTTCGTCCGAAAGACATAAAATAGTTTTTCTTAATTTCATTTCCCTCTCTACAAGCGCATAAAAGAAAACCCTGAGTTGTGTGACTTCTTGTTGTTCGTTGGTTTCTTGGATTTCAAGTATTGGTATGCCAGAAATGTACAACCGTTCTATCCTGTGAGCAATAGTTCCACAACCTTGAGTACTGTAAAGGGGAACTAAATTATTTAAGGGGGTTAAAGACACATTTGGTCACTGAGATTACTAAATCGTGACATGTATAGTCACTAGAAAAAGTTAATATCAAATTTGGTCACTATAATTACTAAAACATGACATATTTAGTCACTCGTTGTTAGTTGCCGTCCAACTCCGTTAATAGAGTCTGTTATGTGCTGACGTGGCTAACGTGAGCGCCTAGTCAGCGCCTTTTTGGGCCGGAAATGGTCAAACCCGACCCGCCACGTCACTAAACCAGCCATATCATAACCCTAACCCAACCCGACCCACTTAACAAAACAAATCCGCCATCTCTCTCCTCCTAGCAGATCAACATGAGGATTCTGCTCTCCCCCAGCAGCCGTTGGCATCGGTGCCAACCTGCTCTCGCGTCCAACACTTGCTCTACATCCTCCACGAGCTCTCCTCCAAATCGAGAAGCGCCAACCACCGCCGTCGACCTCCAATTCCTCACCCACCACTTATCCTCTGCTTCTCCCCCACTACCACCATGGAAACCAACCAGATCTGAGAAACCCCATTCTCGATCGGACCTCCGATCCCTCACCCACCACTTATCCCCTACTTCTCCCCTGCTGCCGCCATGGAAACCAACCAGATTCGAGAAACCCCATTCTTGACCGAACCTCTGATCCCTCACCCGTCACTTATCCCCTGAGTTCTTAAAAACCCTAATCTCGACGTGAGAACAGAGTTCTAGAAAACCCATTAACGTAGTCATAATCCTTCTCATCCAACCCGCAATCGAAGTTGAGGACGTAGCTCTCAAAGTTGTAATTGAACTTTTGAAACCTCCATCAATTGAACTTCTGCTCCTGGTTTTCGCCTTCCCTTGTTTTCACTCCTCCCCTGCTTTGTATCAGAAGGTAATTGTTACTTTCGTCGTTGGCAATTTTGTTCCCCCATCTAGAGAATAAGGAACGAGAGGTGGAAGCTTGTGAGAGGTGGAGGTGGGGAGATGAGGAACGAGAGGAAGGAGAAGTGAGGCGGGTTTGCTTTTGTTAAGTGGGTCAGGTTTGGTTCAGGGTCGGGTTCGGTTCATGGGTTGGATTGGGTGTATGACATGGCGGGTTTAGTGACGTGGCGGGTCAGGTTTGACCATTTCTGACCCAAAATGATGCTGACTAGGCGCTCCTGTTAGCCATGTCATCACATAACAGAGTCTTTTAACGGAGTTGGACGGCAACTAACAACGAGTGACTAAATGTGTCCCGTTTTAGTAATTATCGTGACCAAATTTGATATTAACTTTTACTAGTGACTAAACATATCCCGATTTAGTAATCTCAGTGACCAAATGTGTCTTTAACCCTCATTTAAGGAGAAATAGTATGTTCTATTAGCTCGGACGATGTTTATACATGTTTTGATAACCTCTCTATCTATGAGTTTTGATTTTGTCTCCTTAATTTTTTTGTTTCCTTTGATTTCTGTATGACTTGTGTCAGAAGAAAATTGGTACACATGACATATTCATTCGTCATAAGACCCAAGAATGGAATTTATAGCCACCCAGGAATACGATTGGGATACAGGAATCTCGTGAGAGAATCATTTGTTTATTTATTTTGGAGTACTGTAGGGCGATTTAGGAGCTAGGGCAAAAGCAGCCAAAATAAAAATCTGCAGGTGAACTTTTTGACCAAATTCAGAAGTACTGTTGGTCCATGCATCGAGTAAGTGCATCATATTTTGGTAATTGAAATCTCGACTCCATCTGCTGGCCTTTGATGAGACAGATATTCCATCTCTGCATTTGGATTTACAAGTTCCCACCTGAAAGAAAGAAAGTGAGAATCCAACCAAAAACCAGTTCGTAGAAACAGCACTAGTTCTACGTACTTGTATCCAGTAGACAAGTGATGGAGAAAGATAGCAAGGTGCGTCCTCGCGAACATGTTCCCGACGCAAATCCTCGCTCCCGCTCCAAATGCTTGAAACCCACTCCACTTTACCTGAAAAATATACGCGGCCAATCAATATTTCCTAAATTCTGAACCCGAAATCCTGATGTTTGATTGAATCACTTACATCGTATCGGTCTGGATTGAAGCAGAACGGATCATCGAAGTTGTTTGGATCCGTATGAACGTAGCGAAGCCAGCACAGCACCTTCCACCCTTTGGGAATGACGTGGCCTGTCCACATCAGTTGGCGACAATTTCAACATCAATCTAGCTTAGTATAATCCGCATGGTGACAGTGCAGAAGAGAATATTACAAAAAACAAAGAAGACCAAGTCAAAATTGGATGGGGATGATGACAAACCTCTAAACTCCACGTCCCTATCACTTAATCGAAAGGCGAAAACAGAGACATTCGCGAATCTCAGTATTTCCTCTACCACCTGCCGAAAGGGAAATGAGAAAACCACCATGTCAGAATCCTAACATGTTGATATCAATCGGAACATCTTTACGCACATTTACAATGGTTGAATCGATTGTAATGATATTTCATAAGCTATTACACCGGAAGCAATCCAACGGTATTAGCACGAATAGAAGGATTGCAGTAAACCCATTTACCTTCTTTGTGTACTTGAGCTTTGAGATGTCATCATAGGTTATGTAATCCTCACCACCTTTCTCCGTCTTCAGACCCATGTTCTCCTCCTGCCCACAATTCACAAAGGTTCAAACCCGCCGTAAGAGAAACCATCTGCAGAGTCAGTTCTAACCCAGAAAGCGGCCAGAGCTGCTCACTCGAAGTTTGGAGAGGGCGTCGGGATGCTTGGCGAGGCAGTACAGAGCCCACATGGAGGAAAGAGCGGTGGAATCATAGCCGCCGACGACAAGGCTGGCGATGTTATCCACCACTTCCTCATCGCTCAACAAGTCGCCTCTCTCGTCCCTTATCTCCATCAACCCATCCATGAGATCTTCTTCCTCCTCTGTTTCCTGCTTTCTTCCCCTGTTTCTCTGCTTCCTCTTCTCCAGCTCTCCCCTGAATATCGACTCTATACTCTTCCTACACTGATTATCATCGAAACCCAGTAGATAAAAGGGTTTATTAGGATTCGAATTGAACGATTTTGGATCAAAAGAATGAATTCTAATTTCTGAGATTTTAAGTTTTTACCTTGAGGGCATGGTGGAAAGAAGTCCCAGGGAAATTGATAGGAGTGGCCCTCATTCCCTTCATCATCCCCTGGAAGTATCCGTCCAATTGTTCCATTACAGGACCTGGCTCAAAGCTCACAAACAGCTTCCCTATGCTCTCAAATGTCATCTGCGCAAACAGGATACAAATTCGAATCTTGATTTGATTCCTAATGACCCATCAATTTTCAATTCACCAAAAAAAAAAAAAAAAGGTGGTACCTTTCTGGCTTCGTGAAACCCGTTGACGGTGCCCTTCTGGGCCCAGGACCGGAGCGAAGCGGCGATGATCGGCTGGTTGAGTTGGGCGATCCGGCGGAGAGCTCTGGGCTGGTTGATCGCCGCCGAAATGAAGTTCCTCATCCGCTTGTGACTCTGCCCCAGCGCCGCCGTCAGCGAGTGGTGGCCCACCAGGTCGTTGGTGGGCCACCGGTGGAGGCAGAACGCCTCGTCGGACTGCAGAACGAACCTGCTGCTCTCCGCCGTCCACGCGATGATCGACGGCTGGCCCAGCAGGTGCGTTCTGTACAGTCCCACCCCATCTCCGTATCTAGGAGAAGAAAACAGGGCAAAAACAGAGTATGCAATTAGATCGGAGGTAATTAAAATGGAATTGAACATGGAGATCTCAGCGACAGAGGGAAATAGAGAATGCTTACTTGTGTCGTTTGGAATTGATGAAATCGTCGGGGCGGCGGACGATCTTGAAGTACCAGAGGAAGGAGAGAAGGTCTCCGATGAAGGGGAGACCCATGTGACCCCGCGGCAGTTTTTTACCGGTTCCGGCGAGACGGGCCTTCACCGGAGCTACATGACGGAGTTCGTTCCACCACCATACCAGTGCGAGGGACAGCAATGTGCTGCAGCAGAGAATCCACCATGGAGGAATCATTTTTCCTCTCTTTAACTTTTTTCTTTCTTTTTCCCCCTTGCTCTGTTTTACAGTAGTGCGTGCTAGCTAAGGTTTAAATAGTGACAAGGAAAAAAAAAAAGGCAGGAGAATATTTAGGAAAGGATGACGATAAAAGAAACAAATTTAAGGATAGAGGTCGCATTCATTATGTCCATGGAACTTGATGAAAACTACCCAAAAAAGAAAAAAAAAACTGTTGCAGAAGAAACCCTGGAAAGGAAATGGTCGCGCATGGCGAACGAGATTCGTTTAGAAACCTCTGCATCTGAGTTATGTTAGTAAATCGCTGTCCTTGACTTTACATGAACATAAGCTGAGATTACGACGGTTGAACAGAAGGAAGGTTATTCATCTAATCCCCAACCTCAATGTTGATGAAGCAAAACCCAGCCCGATTCTGAAGAACAGGTGGGGAGATTCTAACTCGAGTTGTTGGGAGTTGGAATCGTAGGACTAAAAGTTCAAATGTGTTTGTATTAAGTTAAAATGATTTATCATGATCATGATAATTTTGGGTTTGATTTAGAGGATTAGAGCTCAAGAAAGGAGATTAGGAGACTATATGTATTGAAGGATCCATTACACGATTAATAAGAATTTTTTTTTTGAAGTGGTGTTCAATAGGATTAAACGACTGGGCCAAGCCTACTTGGGAAGTGTACAAGCAAACAATGCAAAAAGGAAATGAAAAAAGCCCAAACAAAGAAAGCTCACAGAAAAACTCGGGTACCCAATAGGGACCAGACCCAGGGACCAAAACAAGTTAGAGCCTTTTCCAAACCCTAGCTGCAACGTGCCCCCTCTGAAACTCCTCAGCCGCCGCGGCAGAGCACCACAACCACACCCAACAGAACGCCACCACCCATCCCTTGAGTGCTTCCGTGAGCCGAGCCCTGGGTCGGGTACCCACCTAACCCGGAAGGCAACATGAGGACGATTAATAAGAAGCTAATCCGCGATCTTGACTTGTTTGGTCGTGAAAGTTAGGTAAAACTGGAGATGGATAAATAGTGAGTTTTATGGTGGCAACTTCATCCCATAAAATCCAATTTCAAGCCAATCTCTCCATAACACGATTGTGTTTTACATTCGTGAATTTGAATCTTTTGTGCAAAGTTTTGAAAAAACTAGAGTTAAAACGAAGGAGGCAAATGATAGTATGATTAATCAAAAAATTATTCACCTAAAAAATATTAAAAAAAATTGATAAAAGTTTTTAGGAGCACTTCTATTATGCTATATAGCATTGGTGCTTTAATGTACAACTCAAAGTTGTGCCATAACATTAAATGTATAAGTTTAGACCACCCACAGCGTGGGTTGGTTTTGTGGGAAAAAGGGGAAATGTGACCACAATGTGGGGGGGAATAGGGGATTAAATGGGTTTTGTGGGTTTAGTGGGTGGGAAACCCACCAGATGAGACAAATGGTGGGGGGAAAGGGGAAGGGGTGGGGCCCACTTCAGTTTGTTTTTATTTTATTTTTTTGTTATTATTTTAATGGTTTAGTGTTTGTTTTTAGGGTTTAGTGTTTATTTGTTTGCTTTTATTTCTTCTTAATTATGTTTATGTTCAACTATCAATGTAACAACTTTCTTGTATAAATTATTGCGATTTCGTCATTAATGACGTTAATTAGTGATGAAAAAAATTATGTCCAAATTAGAAAAAAAATTATATCAAAATGTTCGTATTCATTAATTATCACTAACTATGTAAAAATAATGATCATTATATAAAAATAAAGTGTTGAAATCAACTATAAATTGATTTTACGAAAAAAAGTGTTCAACCAATTACCCCTTTTTCCCACACCAACATTGTGACCAAACCCTCTCATTTTCCCCCTTTTCCCTCTTTTCCCACCTTTCCCACCCTCCCACATTGTGGATGGTCTTAGGTTGTACCATAAAGCAATTTGTACCATTATGTTATGGTACAACTTTACAACTTGAAATTGTACCATCACATAAAAGTACAAGTTGAAGTTGTACCATAAAAGAATTTGTACAAAAAGTATAGGTACAATCTGAAGTTGTACCATAACGTAAATGTACAATTTTAAGTTGTACCATAAAGGCAAAAACATATAGCACCAATACTATATACCATTGTAAAATTTCTCAGTTTTTAGATCCCAATGAACGTAATTCTTTCGTACAGATTTTTAATATCCGAGTTAAAAATGGAGGAGGTAGACAATGACATAACTGGTTTGAATATATTTAAAAATAAATTTAATTTTGTAAATTACAATATCTATGTTCAAAGAATTTTGAGTAGTGACTTAAAATCTTTGTCTAATAAAATCAAATAAAAATGAATTAATCACGTAAAAATGAATTAATCGTATTAAAAACAATAAGTACTTTTTTCTCCATTGAAAACATTGGAAATTATACTCAACCTGTAGATTGCCAATACTATAAGTCTATAATCAATTATTTGGTGTCAGACAATTAAGTTCATGAATCGGCGAGGTCCAAGATACCAAATACATAAACAATCATAACTTGTCTCCCTAAACTACTAGGCTATATAATCTTCATTAAAATTTGATCGTGACTACACACTCATTTATCCCCTCATCTCTCCTGGATTTGGCATTATGCTTTGGGGAATCCAATTACACAATACCCCGGGGGAAAATCCCAAAGTATACTAGTAATTAAAAAAAATTCCCAAAATACATAAGTTGTAAAAAAAAATATCATGCTTTCCATGCCATGCTTTTTTGTAACTTATCGTGTAAGAATGTCGATCCTTCACCTCGGTCATGATAGCTTTGACCTTGATATCTGGTTGTGCTTCGATAAGGTGCTTAATAGTTCTTCCAACTTTCTTTGCTTTAAGTTGTCAGTGATCCTGGGAAAGTATGGATGAGGAGCAAGTGTGGTCCGTCTCAGCTTTTCGAATCACCCAGGCACCCTTTCTCTTCATATTTGCAGCCCGCAGTTGCCACATACAGCCCTCTGCATCACTCTTGCATATGACATGTAGTTGTTTACTGTCATAATATTTTACCTTCCACTCGAAATTGCGCCTCAAGGCCTCTTCGGTAAAAGCATCTGCACAGCGTCCTTCGATGTGAACGCCATACCCACCTCCAAATTGGTCGTTGGATTATACACTGGCATAGGGACAAAGTCTTGGTAAAAGCATCATGCACAGCGTCCTTCGATGTGAACGTCATACCCACCTCCAAATGGGTTGTCAGATTATACACTGGCATAGGGACAAAGTCGGGGGCATCATTCTGACTATGTAAAAATTGAGTTGGAACCTGTGTGTAGTATGGCGCCGGTGCCTCACGAAATGCCGCCTCGTCGTCGGTATCGTCAGTATCTTCGTCCTCGCTCACTGATCTCAAATCTTCCTCGGTATCATCGTCGCTCGAGTCGAATGGATATCTCGGGTAAGAATGATCAACATGACCACCATCACCAACATCGTCTTCTCGCTCATGTGAAGTACGCCCTGATCGAATGGTATTCTCGATTTCAGCCCACTCTAGCCCCCAAGCAGGCCATTGAACGCCATCGGCCTCAACTAATGGGGCAGGTTGATCTCGTTGCGAGTACTGTCCCGATGGCACCCATCCCGCACTACTACCTCCACCGTAGTTGCTTGAACTACCACCCTCTCCGTAACCTCCTGTATAACCACCTCCTTCGTAGTTGCTCGAACTACCACCCCATCTGTACCCTCTGCAAAACCATCATCATAGAATACTGGTGATAATGAGTTTCACCGACCGCCTCGGTCTCAACATACACCTCTGCAAGCCGCATCCCGTTATCGCTTAGGAACTGTAACATCATCGTAACTGCGTCATCATCGTTTATGACAACTTCTTGGTACACAACCCTGCCAGCATTCATGTCTGGATACTGGTAAATAATTTTACCAAGTCTCGTCTGTCCGCTCGTACAGACCCTGTCTCGTCCCTTATCTCGTCGCTCAACAGGTCGCCTTTCTCGTCCCTTATCTCCATCAAACCATCCATTAGATCTTCTTTTTCCTCTGCTTCCTGCTTTCTTCCCCTGTTTCTCTGCTTCCTCTTTTCCAGTTCTCCCCTGAATATCGACTCTATACTCTTTCTACACTGATTATCATCGAAACGTAGTAGATAAAAGGGTTTATTAGGATTCGAATTGAACGATTTTGGATCAAAAGAATGAATTCTAATTTCTGAGATTATAAGTTTTTACCTTGAGGGCATGGTGGTACGAAGTTCCAGGGAAATTGAGCAAGATTCTAACTCGGGTTGTTGGGAATTGGAGTCATAGTACTACGGTTCAAGTCTGTTTGTCTTAAGTTAAAAGGACTTGTTATGATAATTTTGAGGTTGATTAGAGGAGTAGAGTTCAAGAAAGGAGACTATATGTATTGAAGGGTCAATTTCACAACTAATAAGAAGCTAATTCATGGTTTTGACTTTGTCTTGTTTGGTCGTGAGAGTTAGGTAAATTTTTTTTTTGTCAAAAGATATCATGTATTGATCGGAAAAATAGACAGTTACACCCTGGAACTCAGCCAGGTCTGGAAATCAAAAAAGCGACTCATAGTTGGATACAAAGAGAGGGCTTTCCTAGCTACCAAATGAGCTACCCTATTGTTCTCTCGACCTACAAAACGCACACTAAACCCAGGTTGAGTACGAAAATAATGACCAATCTCTTCCAGTACAGCACCCAACCGGCTATCTCTTGTGTCGGCATGATTAATTTTATCAATAATCACCTTCGCATCGCCCTCAAAAACGACCTCCGACAAACGTTGCCCCACACACCAAATAATTGCTTCCCTGAGCACCAGCAATTCCACCACTACAGGATCATCCATTTGAGGAAACTGGACCCCTCTAGCCAGTAGGATTGTCCGTGCTGGGTCAAAAAGAACCATTCCACCAGCCGAATGAGACCCACTCTTAGTAGCCCCGTCCCACATGCAAACCAGATGAGAGCCATCCTCTTGAGCGGAAGATTGCATTATCGGCTCTTGAAACCTAGGCACCTTATCCGCTGGCAGACCTACCCATTCCTCATACTGTTGGTGGAACTGTC